AATAATTAAATAATTAAATATTACTACACTATCCTGTCCAGATGACCATCTAGCATCAACTGAAAAATTTCTAATGGAGAAAAGCCCTTTAATCTCTGGGGCAATCTGTTCTTTTGTTGAATAGTTCATTTCATCAGGAAGCTATTCCGTATGTTTAATTTATATCCTTGTAATTTGAATCTGTTTATTTGGGTCTTCCTTTGGAGTAGCAGAAAATGTATTTTCTCAGTTAAATTTATTCCTAGGTAATTTTGCATAGAACAGTAGCCACAATGTATATGTGCCCTCCTGTCTTCTACGTAATGACATTGTTTTAGTGTGTTGCACACTTTACTACTACTGTGTGTGTATATTCAGAAGCAAATCTTAGCCTATTCAGTGGGATTTACTGTCACATACATAAGACTGCAGTCTTATTGTTGTAACTTCATCTCTTAAAATTTGTCTTAAATGAAAACTCTCACGTATATAGAATGAGTTGAACATAAGTGTCATGGGATATGAAGATCATCTGGATTTACTTGAGCATGAGGGTTAATGTAAAATGAGAAGGAATGCTAGTCCAATAATTTATTGAAAGTGAAGATACTTGACCTCCTATTCATTTGGAGATGGATATCAATTGTATTTTCTATCCTTCCTTAAACTTTTCATTGCTTTCAGAATTCTGTTGTACTTTGTCTGCATATGTTCTATAAACAAGTCTAAAATCTCACATTTCTGCTATCCCCCTAATAGTCCTGCTCTGTTAAATGTTATATGGATGGAGCATGGAAGCAGATCAATTTCATTAGTTTCATATCAGGCCAAAAAGAAAATAAAAAATAAAAAATTAAGAAGACAAAAATATTGTGGCATCTTAAAGATAAATGCTATATTTTAATTTGAGCTTTACTCAACAAGTCCACTTCCTCAACTTAGTTTTTATGCTGCCTAATTTGGCAGTAGGCATATCTCCTGCTAGATTGGTGGTGAAATTTTCTGCCTTAAGCTTTAGATCTTTTCTTTTTGAAGAGCAGTGCTGCCAAGTAAAATGAGTTCATTTAACCGCATTTGTTTTTTCAAGCTTAACTTACTCTCCTGACATTTTCAGAGAATCAGGGCTGAAGTTCCAATGACCTAAGAGTAGTGCTTTTCATCCCCGTGCTGAATTTATCATTTACTCATTCACCATAAGTGTAATTTTGTACTTCCATAGTATATGAGCGATACCATTTGTTCATTGATTTTGATAGGCAGAATAGCATAGCACAGTGATGGCGAAACTATGGTACGCGTGCTACAACTGGCACACAGAGCCCTCTCTGTGGGCACGTGAGCCATGCAGGCAAACCTGAGGAGGCAGCTGCAGCCGTGGTGCTAGCGCCCCAACAGGCAGTGGGCCAGAATCTGGAGCAGCTGACATTGGCGGCAGTGGGCCGGCTGAGCTATAGGCAGTTGGCAGGGTTGGCCACGACTGGAGGTGGATCTGTAGTGAGGTCTGGAGGCACCTCCATGCCTGTGATTCCCCCTTCTGCTGCCGTCCACCACCCGCTGCGTTCCCCCTCCCCAGTCTAGACACTTGGGCTCAAAAAGGTTCACCATCACTGGTCCGTGATACTAGCGCCCCAACAGGCAGTGGGCCAGAATCTGGAGCAGCTGACACTGGCGGCAGTGGGCCGGCTGAGCTATAGGCAGTTGGCAGGGTTGGCCACGACTGGAGGTGGATCTGTAGTGAGGTCTGGAGGCACCTCCATGCCTGTGATTCCCCCTTCTGCTGCCGTCCACCACCCGCTGCGTTCCCCCTCCCCAGTCTAGACACTTGGGCTCAAAAAGGTTCACCATCACTGGTATAGCGCAGGAACACCAATCCTCAAGTCCTTGTTCTAAATGTCATTCACTCTTCACTATTTCCTCCTGTTCAATTGTTATTACATGCTGTAAAGTCACTTCTGATTTAATGGCAACCATATGAATGAGTTGACGTCCAAAATGGCCTGTCCTCAACAGCTCAATTCATGTTGTTTCAAGTAATTGCTGCTTTTTGCCAGTAATATATGAAGTCATCTGTATATCTTAAATATTGATGTTTCTTTCATCAATTTTCAGCCCTAATTCATCTGAATCTAGTCTGGCTTTCCATATTATATGTCCTTCTTACGGACTGAACAGATAAGGAGATAAAATGCAGCCTTGTCTGACACCTTTGCCAATGGGAAACCATTCTGTTTCTCCATATTTTGTCCTACTGGTAGCTTCTTGATCACAATACAGTTTACTCATGAGGACAGTCAAGTGCTAAGGCACACAATTTCTTTCAGATCAAGCCATAGCTTTCCATGATCCACACAGTTAAAGGCTTTGCTTTAGTCTATAAAGCATAGATCTGTCTGAAATTCCTCGTTGCATTCCAGTAGCCAACATATATTTGCAATAAGATCACTAATGCCTCTACTTTTTTTGGAATGCACCTTGAACACCAGGTGTTTCAGGCTCCATATACTACGAAAACCTTGTTGCAATGCCTTGAGCGTCACTTTCACTGGAAATTAATATTATGGTCATATAGTTACTGTACTCCTTGACATCTGTTTTCTAGAGGATTAGAAAGTACATTGAACATTTCCGGTCTGTAAACTATTGTTTTGCTTTTCATATTTATTATCATATTTTTGTTAGTAATTCTCTGTGGCTTGAAATAGTTCTATTAGTATTCTAGCTACCGTAGAGATTTATTTCTTCCAAGTGCTTTGAGAGCTGGTTTCACTTTACTTTCTAAAACTGCAGGTTCTTCACCATTGGAATCCTCTTAAAATATGCTGTCTTTGTATCTCTTCCATATAGTTGTTTTATACAGTGGTACCTTGGTTTACTAATTTAATGCATTCTCCGGGACGTTTTGTATTGTGAAAAATTCATAAACGGAAACACGATTTTCCATAGGAACGCATTGAAAACCAATTAATCCATTTAGAGGTCAGAAAAAAGTCTAAAAAAAAGTCTTTTATCTGTTCAAAACTCTTTATAAAGTGTACTTTAAAGGCATAAATACTATACAGGTACATAATTTATCAAGCAATAACATTTCAAATATCCAACTTCAACTTTTAAAACATCACAAATCAACTTATAAAATATGGCAAACTGGGGAAACTTGCTTTGTATTGCGAAAAAAATCATAAACTGAGGCATTATTTTCAATGGATTTTCATTCGTAAACCAAAAATTACGTTAACCAAGGCATTCGTAAACTGAGGTACCACTGTATATTGTTTCCCCCTTCTCTTTATTTTATCCTCAATACTTAATGTGTTGAGGGGGGTTTGAGTATGTCAGAGAAGACAAGATCAATAGAAGCAGGAGTTTAGACTCGATTATGAGTCTGGATCCCTAGCAGGGTCACTTAAGGTAGAAGGGTCAAAGGTGAGAGCAGACTAAAGTATATCCGCCCTCTCCCTATCTAGTACACACAGAGAAAAAGGCAAAATGGGAATAATGATCTTGCATGCATCAGGTTATAGTGATGAAACCTTGCTCAGTATTCACTGATTTTTATCAGCTCACACATACAGTTACATCAGCAAATCCAGGAGAAGGTAAATCCTGCCCCTCACTCCATGCATACTCTTGGTGTGCCTAGGCAATGTGCAGTTAGATCTCTAAAGGTACATTTTGATATATTTGATTATATAACATTTTGTTCTTTATAACTTACTACCCAAGTGTTTCTAGGTAATTACAAAAGCTAATTACAAAAAAGTGTTCAGAAATGTTATTGATATGTAAAAATACTGTATTTTAGTGTCTGGAAGTCAGCCAGATTTGACTTCAGTGAAAACTGAAGAGCTCAGCAGTGTTCAGGAGATGTCTACAAAAAGCCTTATTGTTGGCCCCCTGAATCTTCGGCTTGACAGCAATGCAGTGCACAGGATTATGAAGATGATTGTTTGTGCTCTGGAACATGAATATGAGCCATACAACAAATCTAAACTAGGTATGTGGTATGTTAGTTCTCATTTTATTTAAACAAAATTTTACCTTTCAGTGTATACATACAAATAATGTGCCTGTGCAAGAGAATAGGTCCTTATCCAAGAGTTTACTGTGAATACATAGACAGAAAGAAACTAGGGAATGGAGCTGATATAAGACTAGGATTAGGAAGATAGAATATTTGATTATTTCATTAAGATGTACTTTAGCTTTCTTTTGCTGGCCAGACTCCTGTTGGTATTCTGTGCATATACAAGAGGAGTTGCATAACTATCTACAGCTTCTTGCAGTTAATTGATGAAGTGCTCAGAATATGCTCAGGTGCACAATCAGGAGTGTGACTGGGTATATAGCTGGCAGATGTGCAGCCTGTCATCAGTTAGCCATGTCAACCTAACATGATACCTCTTGCACGGATGTAAAATACCAACAGAACTTTGGTTGTTATAAGACTGCTAAGGTTAAAATGAATAAAATCAGAACTGAATAGGGTTGAAGTAAAGTGGGCTATAGCATATAAGTAACATTGGAAGTACTTTTGTTATCTATAGTGTAGTACAGGTGTCTCCAAACTACGTTCTGCGGATGGCCCGCCTTGCTTATTTATCCAGCCCAGTGAATATCACAGGCTCAGGTCCGTTACCTTCAGCCCGTACATGCGTGCATATGCATGTGTGCATTCTTTTGACCCTCGAAAATGTGTAAAATATATGATGTGGCCCTCATGCTGAAAAGTTTTGAGACCCCTGGTCTATATCAATCATTTTTGCCCTTTAAAACTTTCAGGTTCATTAGGACCTCTGGAGATTGGTTCCAAGCCCCACCACGGATACTGAAAATTGTGGATAATATTTTCACATGCATTACCTGAACTGGCCACTGAAGGGCACCATAGACATTTTTCACTAACAAATACCCATAGGACGGCCACTGGCTCATTCTAGTGGCCAGTTCTGGGTAATACATGTTAAATATTTTTTTCTGGATTTTTTTTCTTTTAATATTTTTCAGACTGTAGATAAGTGAAATCATGGACATTGACCCCATGGATACAGGGGTCCTTACTGTACAGAGAAGACAGTGATTAAAAGAAAATAGTGGTAAAGAAACATGTTGGGCCTTAATTATTATGGTTATGGCTGTTGTGGGTTTTCCGGACTGTTTGGCTGTGTTTAAGGTTTTTCTTCCTAATGTTTCACCAGTCTTTGTGGCCGGCATCTTCAGAGGACAGGAGTCAGAACTCTGTCTGTGCACTGTTGCAATTTGTTGGATAGTTGAGTATTTATAGCTGTGGGATCAGCTTTTGTCCCAGAAAACCCACAATAACCATCAGATCCTGGCCGTGAAAGCCTTGGAGAATATAATATGGTTATGTTAACTTTTTTTTTAATAGACTTTGTAGACGGAACTAAGACTGTGCCAAGTTCAGAAGAAATAGCAGCTTTGGAGGAATATATTCCAACACGAATCACAAACTTTACCATTTTGAAATGCACTGTTACTATCCCTATGGCTGAATTCAACGTACTGGGCCATTTGTTGCCTGTAATTATGGGTCAAAAGGTATTAAAATGTTATCTATGAATTATATGTTTGAAATAAGTACATGTATAATTTTTCTTGGTTAATGTGTATATTTCATGTGAGTTAACAGAGTCTGTCTATACTTGCATATTTTCTACTTCTTGATTGCTCTTTACTGATATTTAGCACTTTGTATGGCACACAGTGTTTATATGAACCAAGTGTATTCAAAGTGTTTAATTCTGCTTCAGTTTAGAAACATCACTGGTAATTTTTATGCTTGGGTGAACTCCAGTTTGAGTGGAGGGGTCAGGTGCTGTCAGTGGAGTGAACTTAAGCAGAAGGAAATGTGCCAGTGAGGAGGATGGGCACATCAGGTAATGAGAAGGCAAGGTATATATCCGAACGCCATCCCACCATCTGAGCTTTCTTCCATCTTTTAAGATCCTGGTTACCCTGTCAGCGTATCCTTGGGTTTAGTGGTGGTGGTGAATGCCAACTTGGTCAAAAAGAACTACCATTTTTTGATTAAATAATGGACTAGAGGGCTGGCATGGCTGGCATGTGTTACTAAGATCTGGTGGATGAGCTCAGTTGGGTGGATGTAACCCTAGTTTGTTCACCAGGGATACTCGATTCTGCACCAATCTAGATTGAAAGTTGAAGGGGGAAAAGTCACCATCATACATAAGGTTTCTTCAACGTGGTTCTCTATGAATCCACACTGGTGGGTTAAACAGCACCTGCGCTGGTTCCTCTCGGAATTTTCCAGAGCTATGGGGAAAAGATACAACGTTTTAGGTTGCCCTATACTGCGCACGCTCAGCCCGCCAAAACCTTAGTTCCATTTATCCGCCCGTGGAGTTGGAACCTCTCGGTTAGAGCTCCTTAGCCTTTATTGCCTTTCGAATTTTCTTCGAATTTTTCGGCTTGACCTGGCTTGGAATATCGTATATCTCCTCTCTGTTGCCCTGATCACGGACCGGTTGACATTCCTCTGCCTCAGGCGCTTATTCGCAAGTACTTTCTCTTCACCTTTCATCTTAATTGCGGCCTATTACCTCCCGCTGAGGCGCCACGCGCCGCCCGGACTCTTTCAATCACCGGCTTCTCAATCACCGGCTTCCCTCTGGACTTTCTACCGTTCGCTTATGTCAGCGAAAAAAGGACCTTTTAGCCGCTGTTCTGCTTGATCTAGGAAGCTCCCTTTTCAGGATCACCATTCCCTCTGCCTTTTTTGCTTAGGTGAGGGGCATCTGACCACCCATTGTAAACATTGTAAGGAGTTTACTAAGGCAACGTTAAAATCCAGATAGCAAAGGCTTCCTTTGGAACAAGACTTTGTCCGCTTCTCAACCGTCGGACATGGAGTCGGTTCAATTGGTCTCGACCGTCTGCTCGGAGGTCACCGTAATCTCTTCCTCACCCCGTCATTTTCGAAAGAGGCTCCTAAGAAGACTTCTAAAAGCAAGTCCAAAAAGCAACCCGCTGCAAAGAAGTCTTCGTCGGATGCTTTGGCCCCCTCAACATCGGGGCCGAAGCAGAAGTCCGCGCCACCGCCGACGGCGAAAACCAAGCAGAAGACCAAGGAGATTGTACTGGTCATCCCGCCCATTTCGACGTCAGTGCCTTCTCCCTTCCTAGAGGACTCCTCTCGGGACCATGACTCGGTCTCCGAGTTAGGCACCTCCATTCCACCTCATCAAGACCAACCGGTGGATTTAGGACGGTCACCTACGGCTAGCCAGCTCGACAAGGTTGTTGCCGGCACCGGGAGTTTACCTCTTAGCCCGATACTTACCGGGCGTACTACCCGATCTCCTTCGATGGCTTCGGAGTCGGGTCCTTCCAGGTCTCCACCTCCTCCACTGGGCCGACCTGTGAAACCTGTCGAGGACTCCATCCCTCGACACCCAGCTCCCGATTCGGCTGACGATGAGCCACCGGCGAAGAAGCGTCGTCACCGAAGGAAGCATCGACGTGGTCACCGATGCCGAAGGGACTCCTCGCCGTCCGACTCTGATTACAGTCGGGGACGGAAGAGATCCCACCGGAGAAGGCGAAAGAGGGACTCTTCTTCCGATTCCTCTTCGACCTCGAGAGAGAGAGGACATAGGGGAAAGAGATCGAGATATTCGTATTCGTCGTCTTCTCGCTCTTGTTCTCCTTGTCGAAGCCCGCCCCCGAAAAGACCTGTGGGTTCGGGCCCTGACAAGTCCATGGCGCCGAAGCCGGTTCCGCTTCCTTCGTCGCCCTCTCCTCGACGACCAGAAGAGCCATAACCGAGAAAGACTGTCTCGGTGCCTAAGGCTCCTCATCTTCCATTATTACCTGTTCCAACTGAGGAAGACCAACCACAGGAAGACTCATCTGACCAGGAGGAAGATGATGAATCAGAGGCTTCCCTGGAAATTCCAACCCCGGGGGAACCTCTGCCTCCTGAAGCGGCTAATCTGAAACCCTCTTCACCATCAGAGGATTTTTCTTCTTATTCCCAGATGGTAGCCCTCATGGCGCGAGCCTTAAAGTTGGCCATCGAACAGTCCCCTCAAAAGGAAGAAAACCTCATTTTTGGGGACATTGAGGCGGAGAGAACTCATCCAGTTAGTCTCTCATTCATTCCGGAACTGATGGACTTAATAAAGGAGTTCTGGGAGCATCCAGCTAATGCTACCAGTATTTCCAAGAGGACTGAAAATCTTTATAGGATCCATGGCCAGGACACTTCATTCCTGGTCATGCACCCAGTGCCTAATTCACTTATAGTGGAGTCCAGTTCCACCAAGACTCCAGCCAAGGGTCACCCTACACCAACTAACAAGGAAGGAAGGAAGTTGGAGATACTGGCACGGCGAATGTATTCAATGACAACTTTCGTCTTGCGTGCAGTAAATTACCTAGTAGCAATGGGTGCCTACCAGAAGCAACTCTGGTCCAGAGTTCTTCCAGCTTTAGAGGCAGCCCCAGAAGACATTAGGCAACTCTGTTTAGACACCCATGCTGAGGCCCTTACTGTCTCAAAGTATCAACGCCTAGCCCCTCAGCATGTGGCTGAAGCCACTTCTAAAAACTTTGCAAATGTCATCACTTTAAGGAGGCACGCTTGGCTCCGAGCAGCTAACATTGTGGAAGACATTAAGTCCAGGGTAGAAAACATACCTTTTGATGCGTCTGGCCTCTTCAGCCAGAGTACAGATGAAAACTTGGAAAACCTGCATAAAAGCAAAAAGACAGCTAAGTCATACTTGATTCAACCTCAGCCAAAACAGTCCAAGTTCCAGTGGCGCTCTAAATTTGCCACCCAAACTTACCATCAACCATCTACTAGCACTTACAGACCTTACGGAGGCCAGCCTCCTCACCGTCCTCCTCAGGCTTCATCTTCGGCTGCTCCCTTCAAGCCACAGTCATCTCACAAGAAGCAGCCCTTTAAAGCACCTGGGAAGAAACAGAAACAATATCTTTGACTGCCTGATGGTTCCATCCTCCCCTCCCCACACCACCCGACTATCTCCTTACCTTCACAGCTGGACTTCCATAACCAACGACACCTGGGTTCTGGATATTATCACCTCCAGCTACCGCCTGGAGTTTATAAAGTTACCTCCTCTGGGACACGTCAGCCCTACATCATACGACCCTGCCCTAGAGGAGGAGATCTTCACTCTACTCCAGAAGGGAGCCATCCAGAAGGTATCATCGAAGGACGTCCTCAACGGCTTCTACTCCCGTTACTTCTTGGTCCCCAAGAAGGACGGAGGCGTGCGACCTATTCTGGATTTGAGAAACCTCAACAGGTTTCTCAAAGCACGCAAGTTCAAGATGGTGACCTTGGAGTCCATCCTTCATCTACTCCGGCAGGGAGACTGGTTTGTGGTGGTGGATTTGAAGGACGCATATTTCCATATCACGATACACATGAGCGACAGGAAGTATTTGCGTCTGCTCTTCAACAACACGGTGTATCAGTTTGTGGCCCTGCCCTTCGGCCTTTCCACGG